CCCCCCCCCCCTTTTTCCTCCCTCCCCGTCCCTCTACTCCTTCACAAACAGCGCTATCAGGCGGCGTGGGCGTCATCTGTCGGGGCCGATGGTTGTGAGTGTCAGTCCGACTGGTCCAGCAAGTAGACACGCCAAATTGAAAACTTCTCTATGCTGAGAATTATTATTTTTCGTTTTGCTTTTGAAACTAACAAGAGGTAATACGGATACATGCCGTGCACTATGAACGTCGTAGTCGCCGGTGGTTGCTTTGATTGCAAAAATTTTAGCAGCACTTGACACTCTGGCCCGAGCTCGAGTTGAGACTGAGCTGATTGGGGTCGGGGTGCTGAGAGTGTCACCCGCCACCTGATATGCCGACAAGAGAGAGAGAGAGGGGGGGGGGGGGCGAACGACCTGGAGTACCCTGCGGCACCAGGGGCGTACCAGGGACGTACCAGAGGCGTAAGCGTTTGTGTTGTACCAATGGGGTACAAATGAATATTTTCATTGAAAGCCTACTGATTTCTATGTGTGGGGCATAGATTTAGAGGCAGTCTTCTCAAGAAATGCGGGGATTACCCTCATTTTTCGATGAGATATCCTCAAAATCTGAGGAGCTTTCTTCAAATTATGAAAGTTCCTGAAGTTTTTCCGTTTCCCCCTTTAAAAAAAATCACCCATTGTTTTTACCAGGTATGAATTCGTCATGCAGGGTCCGATTAGTTTGCCGCATGATGTAAAATGTAGCCCGGCAGATTCGAAGTCCACTCTCTGGCTAACTGTTCGCTCTCGCTTTGGACTTGGCAGCGGCTCTGAGACGCCGCTTACGCAGCGCGGCTGGCGCGGCGAGGCGGGGGGTTCTTTGGCCGGCGGAGGGGCACTTCTCCGAACACATTACCGTCGGCGTGTTTGGCGTCGTCTCGCTTCTCGCATCATATTGAAACTAATTTGATTAAACCGCCTCGACCCCTTCCCTTCCCTCCACCCCACCCCCCTTTCCCCCACAGACTCTCTTCCAGCCCGCCCTGAACACTATCCGGTGTCGCACCGGGCCTAACGACGTCCAGGTGGGATTATCAGTCAATGTCGTCCTCTACATCTTATCGATGCGTGGGGTCAATCACCATCGTCATTATCGCTCAGTACAGTCCGCTTAGCTTATATGCCCTCTTCATTTTACTGCCTACCGAGTACCGGGTGCATCAAGAGCAAAGCACCTTCCTTTGCTGTTGCGGTTAGGCAAACCCTATTGGGCCGCAGGGGCCCTAGCGCCTTATGGATCGTCCAGAAAGTATGTCCGTTTTTTTCTCATGTTCATTCGGCAAGCTTCGCGGAGGTTTAATAAGGGCGCGGAGCTCGGCGCCTGCGAGCCTCGCACTGGAAATGCAAGTGTGTGAATGTCGCTCACCTGCAAGTGAGCGACATTCCATTCGTACACACTAAAATCTTATGAACTTTTTTGTTCATAGTTACTGATTTCTGTAAACATGCTCGGCTTACGCATTTTTTAATACGCCAGTATGGTCGGATGGACGGCTGTGGTGCACCAAAGGGAGTAACGAGGGTAATAGAAGATGACTGCAGAGGCCATGGTCAGAGGCTGAGGGGGGGTCCCCTGAGGTCACATATT